TCTCTCTCTCTCTCTCTCTCTCTCTCTCTCTCTCTCTCTCTCTCTCTCTCTCTCTCTCTCTCTCTCTCTCTCTCTCTCTCTCTCTCTCTCTCTCTCTCTCTCTCTCTCTCTCTCTCTCTCTCTCTCTCTCTCTCTCTCTCTCCCTCCCTCCCTCTCCCTCCCTCCCTCCCTCCCTCCCTCCCTCCCCTCCCTCCTCCCTCCCTCCCTCCTTCCCCCTCCTCTCACTCACTCACTCAGGCTGTGTATGATGCCTATTAACCTTTTGATACCAATAGTGCATGCATACATACCCTGTCTGGTGTGGTTTTGTTTTATTAATTTACTTAACATTCAAAGGACTTCATCAGGAAGGTCACCTGACCTCACTCTTCTTTTTTTTTCTTTTGATAGTGCCAATAATGATATGATAATAACCATGATTATAACTAGTCTATACTGAAAATGATCTTTAATCAAATTTATTTACACTTCTGTCCTAGTGTATATATATATATCTTTTCATTTTTGTAGAGTATGTAAAGAATATATTCTTTCCAAAGTATATTAAGTAACAATTAAAATTAAAATTTGATAAACTTGTACCTGGATTAGATTAGGAATGACATTTTTTCTAGTATCTGTGTGATTTATAGGTCTTGTAGTAATTCTCTGGGAGTTTATGAACTTGCAAATTGAGCTTAATTACTTAGTTAAAGCTTATTATTGAGATTTATTTTAAAATCTGTAAGGAGGGCTTTGACTGTTGTATCAAATAGAAGTTCCCATTTTAAGCTGTTTTAAGCTGTAATTGTTGTTTTAATTATTTCATGTGTCCACTTTCTAAAAGTCCAGATTCAGTGTTTCTGTGAAATATATGATGAAGCACTTTATGTAATTAGCCCAAGGTCATAAATATTTAGAGAGTAAAAATTCTGTGATATAACTTCAGATGCATAAATGTTCTGTTTCTGTTACTATATATATTCAGATTTATATGATTTTTGTAACATTTGCTTTTGTTAAAGTGGTGTGTGCATTGTTAGTACAGTTAATATTAGGTGATCAAATTATTTGTTATTCTGATAAATGTAGTAAGATATTTATAAGACAATATTTCACTCAACAAGACAATGTTTTTGTAAGAGTATAAGATAAGAGTATAAGAGATTTATTTGTTATTTTAGGCTACATTACTCTGTCCTTTTGTGATATGATGCATAACTTATTACCTGTAAACATTCCAGCCATTCTACAATGATTTTTGCTGTTGTATGGAAATAAATGTAACGAGCATAAGTTGTATTAATTTTATTCTTTGCAAACATTACAGTTGATAAGGAAATATATGAATAGGCATTTTCTTGGAAAATGTACCAAGTGTTTTTAGTCTTGATCTTTTCTCCGTATGAAGCACTTTGTTTATACAATGGCTCGACACAAATGTAGTTAATTCATGGTTTGCAGAATCTACAACTAGTATCTAAAAATGTATTAATCATGAGTAATAATGATAGAAATATCAGTTCTGTAACACATTAATAACAAGTTCATATGTGCCTGTCAGTTTTTAGGTTTTTTAATAGAGCTTTAGCTATAGGTCTGTTTGGTGATTTTTCTTCTTCATTCTTATTCATCATCACCTCAACTTTATCAGTTTCAAGCTGCCAAAGAACAACTTTAATAAAGTTTTTGTAACATTTATAAGATGTGGGGTCAATGATTTGCCAACTACTTTGGCAGTAAAAGTGATGCCCACCCCAAAGATTACTCAAGGGTTGCCCAAAGATAGGTCATCGCGTTGGGGCCTCCACTCTGTGGGTCAAGAGAACTAAGCTGACTGAAGGTGGAGTTGGCTGCCATCTCAGAGTATGATGAGCGAGTGATTTCATGTTCTGTTCTGGTGCTGCAGTGATAGATACTCTATGGAGTTCTCATAGCCATTTTCAGTAGACTCCTGGCCTTCAGTAGTAGAGGTGGTATCAGTCAATGAGCTTGTAAAATCACAGAGACTGAAAAACACTTGTTGGACTTGATTCTTTTATCACTGTATGTTGTTTATGTTAATCTTATGGGGATGAGATGTTCTGTGTCGAACTTGTTTCTGTAACAGATAACTCTCCTGGACAAGATGCCCTTATCCTTGATCCTTCAGGGACTACACCCAGGCTGGCTACCACCTGTCAGAAACTATTACCACCTTTGAGACTTTGTGAGATTCCAGAGACAAGGAATTGCTGGCTTCTTGTATCACCCCCCGGCCTACGTAGATGGACCTGGTAAAATGATGCAAAGAACCATATTGGTTTGAAATTAAGGGCGGATATAGCACCACAGCGCTTGATGTTAGCCTCTTTAGAGAATTGACTCATTGAAGATTAAAGTACTTCCATTGTCTTTTCTTCTGTGAACAGATATTCATACATTTATGAATGTATAACATGTACTTACTTTTGTCCTGCTGGATAAATTCTACACACTAATCAAAGTTATATTCTACAGGCTAGTAAGATGAAACAAATTGTAGATGCTGTTTTCAATTAAAAAGCTTTGTTTGTTAATGAGGATTATGTTGTAACTGCTATTTGTCACTGAAGGCCCACCCCCTGAGATTCTCCATTGCCTTTAGGTGCCTGCTGAATCTGCTTCGCTCAGCTTTAAAGGCATCAACTCAGCCAGGAACAAAATGCTTCAAAGGGCCTCCCAGGCAGGCTTGCTTTCCTACTACCATGTGACTTGGCAGCAGGTCATGCTGTTTTCCTTAACAGTTTTGTGATGTGACTTGATACTTATTTTGTACTCCTTTAAATCCACCTTTTTAATAAAGGTATATAACCATTGGCATCAAGTGTTTTTTTTTTTTAATTAATTATTTCTTATTTGTATTTGATTTCTGTATAATTTTCCTGATCCTTGTTATCATCTTACCTATACATTTCTATAGGTAAATGCTAGGCCTAATTTAAAAAAAAAAGTACTTTAAATCTTCCGACCCTTCTCTTCTATCTTAATTTTGCTTGTCTTTTATGTAGACACCTGCTGCCTGTATAGTTACTAATTTAAAGGTAATGCTTGGAACTTTAATCAGTCTCTCTCTCTCTCTCTCTCTCTCTCTCTCTCTCCTCTCTCTCTCTCTCTCTCTCTCTCTTCTCTCTCTCTCTCTCTCTCTCTCTCTCTCTCTCTCTCTCTCACACACACACACACACAAACTTCAAAAAACAAAGCTTCTTTTGAAAAAATATTGAAACTAACAAATATTTATTATGATACGTGTCAGTTGCCTGTTGGCCCAATTGCCCCATTTGGCAAGAATACTTGGTATGACCAGAGTTGTCTGCTTTTCCATAGCAGCATTTCTGGCGTTTTCTAAACATTAGAGGATAAAGAAAACTGATAAAAGTAATAAAATTAAACAATAAACTATCACAAATGGATGAATAATATATTACACGCATATAGGATTCCCTGCATTACTTTTTTGTTCATTGCACTGCATAAACAACGTACAATAAATACATTGTTAAGGCAATAATGTAACAGTATTTAACAACATAAAATGCACCAGAATCTCTTTTTTTTTTTGAAAATGTATTTGAAAATGCGACACTGAGTCTTTAAATTGAATTTATCTAAAAAGTATACAACTATACACTCTCCGGGGCTGTGGCTCTGCCTTTGATGATACCCAGCTACGCCGCGATGATGTTTGGTCTGCCACATCATATCAATTCATACCAGGATGATTTCAGCAATTTTCATGTTTAATTTATTTAAACAAGAGAAAATATCTCAAATCGTTCTAAACACTTTTTTTTTTTTTTTTTTTTTTTGCATCAAACTATCTGTAGCCATACAAAATACAGCCCTTAAAAAAAAAAAAAAAAAAAAAAAAAAAAAGTGTGTCGCCATCAGTCGGTCGTCTTTTGTTTCCAATTAGCAAGTGAATTTCCATAGAATTCCAGCCATGGCTACGACAACTGTTATGTAAATCTATTGTCTATACACGTAGATGGCTCTACTAGTGCTTAGTCACCAAGGAGTCAGTTATTAGTCCTACATATCGCACCTGTTTCTTTCTTGATTCTCGGAACACATTTTTATTTATTTTTTATTGTCTCAAATGTTATTGGTAATTTAATAACAATCCTATATAATAATACCAGTAAGAATAATAACAGTATCAATATCAATAATGTAAGAAGAAAAAGCATTTCCCGCCATTTCAAGGAATGGGTAAGTCAAACGCGTTCATCAGGGACTCCTTGGCGGCTGAGCGCATGAGGAGCCATCTGCATGTAACAAAATTCACAAACGAAACTTCAGGGGACAGCACAGAAAACTGGGGTGATTGAAATCGAGGACGATTCCGAAACTGCTGTCTCACTTTCATCAATAGATCTAGTTTGTGCATTGTGGGTTTTTCTTCCATATTATCAACACGGTATTGTGTTTTTCATTGCATATATATATATATATATATATATATATATATATATATATATATATATATATATATATATATACATATATATATATATATGTATATATATGTATATATATATATATATATATATATATATATATGTATATATATTATATATGTATATATATGTATATATATATATATATATATATATATATATATATATATATATATATATATATATATATATATGTCGTAGCAATAAGCGTGCATAAATTGACGGCCTAGCTACTTCAGATCAGTGTCTTATCTGGAGGAAGATTGCTTAAAATTATTACAACATCAACGATGATGAATATGATAATTATAATGATAGTAAGGATGATAATGGTAATTATAGTAATGGTAATGATGATAATGATAACAGTAATGATAATAATAATAGTAACGATAGGGATATTGATACTGATAATGATATCAGAAAAAAATATGACGATTGTTATCATTATGACATTAGAGATTAATGACGGTGATAATGATAAAGATAATCATAATCATGATGACGGTGACAAAGGTGATGGTGATGATAGTGATGATAATC